AAACTCCTTTATCCAACTGAGTCTAATGTTTAGCCTGCAAAACTCACATACATAAAGTTTTCTTCAAGCACTGGTTGTTTAAGCACGTTTATGTTTGCTTCTTAGGGTTTCAAATCACATCTGCATTGTTTAGTTGGCTCGGAAGCCTAAGTTAGCCCCAGCTGTGCTCTCAGATCGTTCTGCAAGAATGTATGTGAACACTCATCAGCGGTTGTAAATGTTTAAGCTTCACCGCAGATCCTGGAGCTTTGCCGTTGGCCCGTTTTAACGTTTAACAGTAGACTGGTTGGACACAAGTGGCACAGTACTACAAGCCTAAACTCCCACTTATCACACACCTGCAACTTGATTTCAACTGTCATCAAGGAAATGCTCAATCGGATGACTAACGTGCATGATATTTTGAGAGATGATGCTAGCAACATGAAAAAAGTCATGGTGTCACAGGGGAGTGAACAGCATGTGTGTCTTTGCACATACAATCCAGTTCAACAACGGTTCACTTTGACAGCAGAAGGTGAGTGATGTATTGCATTTAGTTGACTGAATATAAGACAGATTGTGATATCAGTTAAGTCAGTTCCTAGCCCGATGTTGCCTTACACAATAATGACTCAAAACTCGTCCCCCGTCAGGAATACAGGTTAGAAATTTAACACTGGTACTAGATCGGTACACGGTTTTGGCAAATACCCAAAGCCCAGGTATCTGACCTGTGTCAGATTGGTATATCACTAATCCAAACCCCCCCACAGATTAGAACAAAACAACTGCTACAGGAAGTATCCTCAAGTCTGACCCATGGTTGATGCACATTGGCTCATGATGTTATCAGATTTTTCTGCCACTTCCTGAACCCAAGTGTCCACAGACATCCCTCCCTTTGAGCCATCCTCCTTTGACAAGACCCCAAGTACCCATGATGCAACCTGTGTTGACTTAAGTTATGCCTCGGCAGCAGCTTAGCTTCACGTTCAGATGTCTGGAAACAGATTCTGTTTGGTGAAACGACATATTGCACAAGCTGGCCTTTCAGCAGTTTTACTGTGGAGGGGAAATGAGAGCCAGAGCGAAAGCACAGCTCTCCAAAGCCACGCACAGTGGGATTGCATATGCTGCCACAAATGGTGCTGAAAACAGCACGGCACCACACACGTCTCCTTACTCGCTGCTTGCATATCCCAACAGATATGGGAATGAAATTAAAAAAGAAGCCGGAGTAACTGAACGGAAATGATGCTGAAGCCGACTCCAGAGCTGCCTGGCACCGCTCATCAGAGTCACTTCTTCTCCCGACACTCCAAAAGAGAGGAGGGCTGATTCACTCTGCTGCTGTCTTTGTACAGCGAGGGGATGTATCTCCATCTTTTCAAAGCTAATGATGAGCCATACAAATACAGCAGGAAATCTCACTGAATGCACACCTTAATTTAAATGAAAATGAATGAGATGGAAGAGAAGATTCTGCAGAAGTGGATTTGAATTAGAGGGGAGCAAGTTGTGTTTACTGTGATTCAGCTCATATTCATCCAATTATCACATTCCCATTGGTTAACGATTGTTTTAGGAGGTATAAAATGAAATCCATGAGAAAAATCTGCAGATCATATACTCTTTACAGCAACAGGAAATAAAACACTCAGGCTGTAATATATTCTCCTTTTGTTGTTGCTGTATGTCTGAGCTAATACTCAGGCTTTAGTCAAGTCCTGTCTGGAAAATACTGGAGGCACTTTGTTATTTTCTCGTTGTCTTCAACGGGCAAACTTCTGTTCATCCTTTTACAGCCACACAGATGATACTGATGTTGATGCTTTTAACAAGAAGTTGTTGTTGTTGGTAAAAAAAAAAATGAAACACCACCAAGCTGGAACTTTGTCCTTAGCATTTTAGAGCTGCTAAGGCTCCGTGTCCACCTAGCATTATTTTCTATTATTATTATTACTATTATATTATTATATATACTATTATTTTCGAGTGCCAGCAGTTTTTTTTTTCAATTGTTTTCAACGAGAGAGTGTTCACAGCAGAAAGTGTCTCTTTTAGGAGCGCTCCGCCTCTCTTATGAGGCCACTCTGAGCGCTCAAGTTGAAAATCGTTTTTAGAAAGACGCTGTTGAAGCCACAAATGTATGTTATTTCACATAGTTTTGCCGCCTATGGATTGTTTCTTGTATCCACATCCTCTTTGCTCCGTGTCTGATGCACATGCCACTTGGCAATCACAATAACTGCTGGCATAATCAAGTCTTGATGCCATCACAGGAGGTTCTGTATTGGGCTCTCTGGTAGTAAGCTGTAAAATAATACTTGAGCATATATCAGTATTGGTTCAGCAACTGGCCGAGTTGAGTCAAAAATTTAAGCATTTTGGATATCTGCAACATCAGACAGATGCATCCTTAGTCTGGAGGCCCCAGTGAGATGGCCATGTTTGTCGGTTGCATTTATAAAATTGTAAATTCAAAGTGTAACCCTAAACAAAGCTGGAATTTCAAACATTAGGAGTAATTATATACACTGTAGGTATCACTAGATATAAGTTAGAGAGCACTTAAGTCATTTATATCTGGGTTGAAAAAATGAAGCACCTGTTTGACTCAGTTTCAGCTGGGTGTGATAATATGTATGAGACGCTGCTTGCAGACAGAACAGCTGAGCGTTCAACAATCAGAGCCCAGACGCTGTGATTGCACAATCAGAGTGACACTGAACCCAACAGTCTATCAGAGAATTACATTATCACTGACATGGCACAGCCAGGGGCAATGACACAGCAGCCAACTCCGTCCTGAATTGAACTTGAATGTCTTTATTTCAACATGGATTTTTCCATAGACTGTATAAAACATGGACGTAGTCTCAGTGACATCACCCATAGTTACTGAAAGGAAGTTTGAAGCCAAACTACGGTGTTCGCTTTATAGGAAATCCTGTCTCAGCCTAATTTACAGTCAACCTAAAGACAGGCTGAGAGCTGAAGGGTTTTAAGCCTATTGACGAACCGTTACATCGCGCCCACCTGTCAATCATGTCAGCTCCGCAGCTGTCAATGGATAACACAGTATTGTTTTCAAAATCACAATAGAGCTGTTTCTAAAAAAAATCACCCCTGTACATGATTACAATAACTATTCAGACCTATTTCTTTTTTTGTACCAGGCTGTAAACATGTTTATTGATGCTGTAAAAACGACTTTTTTGCATGGGTGTGTATGTGACTTCCGGTGTTTCTGCAGCGAGCCTCTAGTGGACACTCGATGAACTGCAGGATTTTGCATAATAAATAAAATGTCATGACATTTTATTATGGGATTTGTGCTGTATGAGACTTTGCGCTCTTTTGGAGCCAGCCTCAAGTAGACACACGAGGCACTGCAGTTTTTTTTTTTTTCAGCATGTCACCCAACTCTAGCTTTCAGGCATAACCAATGCAATGTAAATGCATGACCTACTGACCTAAACTGCATGTTTTACATGTGAGGAGCAACATGTTCACTGTTCCTGGACCTGCTGCTGCACTGAAGAGAGTAAAGCCTTTACACACCACACACACACACACACACACACACACACACAGAGGTGATGGAGATAGTAATAGAGCGAGAGGACCAATGTTCTGTATCTGAGAAGAACAGAACGATTGCCTCGCCTGCAGTGGCTCTAAAAGGCTTCATAACAACCAGTCTGAGAGCAAACTTTGTGCTCTGCACTAACAGCAGCATTAACAGCTGCATCAAGACTACCGCCCGCTTATGAAATGTAATGAGGACAGAATGTCAGACATATCCACTTCTGCTTCATTAGCCTTTTTTTCCCCTTTGCTCTCCCTTCAAAGCACCGAAGCAGAGACAGGTACACACTCACCTTCAGACAGAGAGAGAGAGAAATCAAATCTGAGCATAGCGTTAAATCAGACTCTAAATGAAACAAACTATAAACACAAAGAAATACAGAAATATATGATTCAAAGATTGGAAACAGAAAGAAAACTGTGACAATAACAGCATATGGTAACGTCTTGTCTTGGCCTTGTGTGTGTCATCTTCAGGGTTTGGATTTTTACCGATAAGAATATTAAACAGATCATTTTGAGCCCTGATAGCACTTACTGTTTTCTCTGCAGACTCCCAAAGACCCCAAATTCAAGTTCTTAATATATAATGATTCTGTTATTCAATGTGCTTCACAACTGGATATTCAAACAGATGTTCTTTTCCTGTCATGTACGATGTTTTTGTTGATGAAGAAGTCTGACCCTTCGAAACCGACCTCCCATGAAAGCAAAAGCATCGTGTCTTTTGGCAACAGAAGGCTAGGACTTCATCTTACTTCATCTACATCTTATCATGTCCTCCATACATACATATGTCACATGCAGAATTAAACATGACGGCTGAAGGAGGTCTTTGTTTGCATGATTGTAAGTTTAAGATGTCCGAAACAAGATAATTGATGCAACCGATGAAATATCTCCAGTACTTTGATATGTTTTAGGAAAGCAGTCATTTATCAGGGCTGCACCTTTTCACAGTGGTTAGAACTTTCACTTCACAGTAAGGAGGCTCCTGGTTTGAGTCCTCATTCAGAAGGGGGTCTTTCTGTGTTCTCAACGTGCATGCTACGTTCCCTTTGGGTACTTTGTCTCTCTCTCTCTCAGTCCAAAGACATCATTGTTAGGTTATTTGTGAACTCTAAATTGCCGGTAGGAGTGACTGTGAGTGTGAATGTTTTTCTGCCCTGTGACTGTCTGGTGACAAGACCAGGATGTAACCCGCCTCTCGCCCTGCAGGGATCGGATCCAGGCCTCGCAGCCCGCGAACAGGACAAGCAGTTTTATTAAGGAATGTATTTTATCAGATTTATCCAAAAGACATGACGTGATTTAGCAAACTAAGCCAAACTTCATCAATGAACAAATGCAAACAATGTGTTCATTTAATAAATAATAACAATGTGTCTGTAAAGATGGCGCCAGAGATGCGGCCTAACCAGACTCACCTCCTTGCCGAGGTCTTCCTTGATGACCTGCTGGATCTCCTCCATGCTGCTCTGAGGAGCTCGGCTGTGCAGCACCTTCAGGGTGGACGTGTACTCCTCTGGAAGCAGGTAGTCCAGAGCTCCCAGGTGCTGGCCCACCTTGATGAAAGTCCCCCGGTTTGCACAGCACAAGTCTCGAAGACGCTCCGCCGACCGACGATGCACCTACAGGAAACGGTAAAGAGAGGTTACTAAAAACACAGAAACAGGGGAAGAAAGACTCAAGTAGTGAACTGAACTGAAGAAAAGAAAAAAAAAAAGTTTGAGGATCATTTGAACTATCAGCATGAGTGCACTCCACATATGTCCTGTAAGGGGGAATGAGATAAACAATGTGAAACAAAGATGGAGGCTCCAGATGTGGGCATTACACACATCAGGCAGGGACGGCGCCAGGATTTTTTTTTCTTCCCGGTGCTGAGAGCGAGCTTGACTGATATGTTGGGGTGCTATTTTTTGACAGATTATTTTAAAAGAAAACAAAACTACCAAAATACGTCAGGGGGCTTAACCGGGGCGAGATAGACTTATGGCCCCCTAGCCCCGGTGTAGCGCCGTGCTTCACATCAGGACCCTCATTATGAGAACATCCCTGATCTCTGAATTTATCACAAAGAATGGGAGGAGTTATTGAATGTAGACAAGCGATGCTCTCCTGCATCATGTGTACTGACACCGTGGATGAAGGCCTGTGAATGGGGAGCACGCTTTAGCGCCATTTTGAAGGTGGTTAAGAGACGAGAGAAGCTTCTCCATACTAGTTTATCATCTTCATGTTGTTGTGGCGCTGTTGAAGAACGCTTTTCTTTTTCTCACATCAAAATGATCTTTTTCTGTATACAGAAGGTGTGGTGGTCAACAGTTTTAGGGTTGCAAATGTCTTTAATTTTTCTTAAAGCGATAGCTGAACACATTAACAATCAATTATCAATGAATCATTAATAATTAATGAGCAACAAAATGCACGTCTTTTTCTCAGTTTACGTTTTATAGAAACTGCTGACCGCTTCATTTTCACCTCGCTTTTCTCAGCACCACGTCTTCCTCTAGTAGTAAGAAAGGTCGTTTTTTGGGGTTGTAAAGGTGTCTTTTGGTGTAAAATGGTATTACATGTGACCGCCGGTAAAATTGTAAACAGATTGTCGTTACATACATTTGTAATTGGTTAAATTCTTAACAGCGATTAATGGATTAATGGATTAATGATTAATGAACATCCCGAGTCCAGTTAGCTGCTTCTGTTCTTGTTGCTTCCTTTTTACATGTCTTGTTCAAATATTCAAAAAACAATGCACATCAAGTGTTGAATGTTAAATGTCGAACACAAGTATAAAAAACATTCTTATATAAAACACTAAATCTTAAATGTGTATTTTCAAAAAGTGAGCAAACAGAGGTTGACAATCAAATGACAATTAAACTGATTTGGGGCCCTGGATGGTGTGTGTGTGTGTGTGTGTGCGTGTGCATGTGCGTGTGCGTGTGCGTGTGCGTGTGTGTTGGGGGCAGAGGGGGGGGTCATGGAGGGGTCTCGTCCCGTCTGTCCCGTTTGAACCAGCTGGAGGTGATAATCTTATAGAGAGCTTCTCTCCTGAGACCAGCACAAATAAAAAGGCGTGAAATTAGCTCCCCTTAACCTCTGTAACCCCCCGTATACACACACACACACACACACGCGCACGCACACACACACACACACACACACACGCACGCACACACACGCAGACAGAGCAGAGTATCTGGAGTAATGTTCCCACAGGAGCGTTTGACATGAGTGTCATCTGGGCCGTTATGACAAAGCAATGACAGAAACAAGACACCAGAGATTACCAGATGAGACTTCCTGCTTCAAAATGCAGAAATGTTCACAACACACTCACGTCTGATTTTACAGAGACAGAAACTAAAAAATGTATGACATGAGTAGAATCATGTGATTTATTTAAAATGTACAGCTAGTTTTTATTTAGAGAACTTAATTTGAGGATTCAAGCCTCACAATTAAACTCACTGTTTTAAAGAACTCCTAAACAAAAATGACAAATTATGAAGTTTGAAGTAAACAAAGATTATTTTAAAGGATTATTTATACAAATAGGATATAATGTAATTAAATGTTCATGTAAAGAAATAGTCAGAGAAGCAGAGTAAGAATAAGTGTGATTAGGACATTTCAAATCTTTAGTTAAAGGAACTTTAAAATAAATAAATGACATCTGGAGGATTAAAGTCACTTTGAGTTTGTTTGAACAAGAATTAAAACTTTTAAAAAATATGCGCCTCATTCAGTTTCAGTTTAACTGTTTTCTGTTGTGACTGAACTCAAATGTTTTTTTATTTATAATAAAGATTACTTTAGCAAAATGTTGACCTTCACCCTCTCATGTTAAACTGCAGCTCTGATCGTCATATATTGAAACATTTACTGTTTTTCTCTCGTCTTATTCGTTCTTTACATTCAACATTTCTTCCTGAAATTGAAAGATTGGCTTAAAAAAATTAGCATCTTTATTTGGATATGTGGTGATTAAAACATGTTAAATTAAATATATTAAAAATGTTGTCACAGATAATGTCTAGTTGATGTATATCATTGTTACATGTCCCTCCTCTTCCTATCATCCTTGACCTGAGATTACTTCACGCTCTGGTGTTTAAAGGTTTGAGTTCATGATTTTTGTAATAAATTAACTTTCCAAAACTGTGAATAAAAACATTTACTATGTTACACTAAGTCAGTTGTTGAGAAATTACCAGAAACACTATTTAGAAAAAGAGATTTTCATTATTTCTGGTATGAATGTATTTATTAGATTTAAGATTTGTTTTCAAATCTTATTTTATTTATAATAACTAAAAGTTTCAAAAAGGTCTTTTGTAAGAAATGATCAGGGTCACTTTTTTAAAATAAAAAATGATTAATGTTTGATAAGTATCACCCTCAAAATGAAAAGTATTCGTATTTATTGAGCTGCATCGATCCACCTTTTATCAGTTCTGATCTGACTCTGATGCTCATGTACAGATACTGAGTCAGGTATGTTTTTAGAATCAGAACTAACAGTGTTATTGTTGCTGTTGTTGTTGTTATTATCATGAGTAAGGCTACACAAAGCTGTAATATTTGCATTGTGTTGGCTTCACCTACAAACAGGAAGCAGCAACAAAGAATTATACGTTTCATCACATAGCTGGAGCTGTTTCATCTCGTCTTCACGTCGTCATGGAGACGATTTGTGGACACTTCTTACAATTCAGTCTAAATGTCTTTAAACATTCTCAGCCCGCACAGTCTCACTTTAAAGTGCCCAACCATCTCACTGGATCGCGTACGTCGATCAGAGCAGACAGTCCGATATGAAAATGACGTCAATATCGGACCTGATGACGGGATCTGTCCTACATCTGACTATTTATAAAGAAAATAAAGAAAAGGGACATTTAGCATTTTGACTGTCAAAGAATCAGAATCATAAATTGACTTCAATCTCGTGTCTTTAGAATTAAAAGAAAAGGTGAATATGTGTCGTGCTGTATTGTGAGTTGAGTGGATCATTACATATAAAATGAAATGGTAAAATAAAAGCATCAACAACAGGAGAGCACAATGACCACTAAGACACAACCTTAGTTTTCTTTGTAAATAAAAAAAGAAGGCTCCAGCTTACACTTTCTCTTTTTTCAGTCCCATTTAAAACGGATTATGGAAACAACAATCCCCCCGCTCCCAGCAGGAGGTCTTTCTTTAGGCTTTATGGCAGAGACATTTTGAGGACACTTCTTTTGTTGTCTTAAAGCTTTTTCACTTTTTTATTTTGGCATGCATTGAAAATGTTGTTTGGGTACAGGTTTTTTAAAAATACATCAAAGACAGAAAACGTCTCAATAATTACGTCTGATTTTTCACAGAATTTCTCAACATCTGATTTTTCTTGAAACGCCGGCCTCGGCCTTGAAGCGGCAGATCATCTGAAGTCATGTTTGTGAGCTTATCAGAGTCAAAGTCTTTCTCCTGGTCTAATCACCCGACTCTTCATCGCTCGTCTCTCCTCTCACAGTAATCAGACGGCTTTGTCCCACGGAGGCGGGCTCTCACAGCGAGACGATGACATCACCATGGCAATGCTGCTCGCTGTCAGCCCTGAGGTGCTGCCGCTCTGTGATAGGCAGACGCTGGCCACAGCCCACCATCTCCACACCCGGGACGACCAATGAAAAGGCCCGTCAGAGCATTAGACACAGGGGTTAATGTGTGGTACAACACTGAGACACGAGAGCTCGGTGCTGAACGCCTCGAGGTATCTCTCCCTGCACACATCCTCCTCACACAGTTAGCAGAGACAGTAAATAAAAGGCCAGAGGGGCGTGTGTGTGTGTGTGTGATAGAATGAAGAGAGCAGGAGACAGACTAATAAAGCAATGAGGCAGCGAGTGATAGAAAAAGGAAAGAAAGTAGGATTTAAGGAGTTAAGGAAATCGGAAATAAAGGAACCTTGAAATGCTTTTAGCGTAACAATAAATGTTCTTTATCCTGCAGCAGTTTCTTTCAGATACTTTTTATTAGTAACCAGACAGCTTGGAGGGTTTGTGTGAAACAAAATCGGCACATCGGAGAAGCATCTTTGCCTGAAGTTCAACACCAGAAGTTCATCAGATGCAGTCATACAGATAACTGGCCGTCTTTCAGAATCTTACAATTTGATTTGATTTCAATTACTGTTGGCACCATTTAATTCATTTCATTCAATCAGAGAATAATTAATTTAGTATGACATAATAGAAAAAAGTAGAATTAGCTCCTTGCAACTGTTTGTCTGCACAAAACAGTCCAGGTGCGTTAGGGTTGACACAAAACCAGATTATAATCTTCAGTATGATTCTAGTTAGTAAAAATCAAACAGTGTTGAAGCCCTTCTGATACCATGGCAACTAAAATACAAATGCTTGACACCCAATATTGAGTTATTTCAAATTGCAGACAAACTCCTGAGTACCGTCTTAATATCACAAATACGTTGGTAACGTTTGGCATCACATGTCTCTGTCCTGATTTCCTGCACTTTCCACTGTCAGCATGTTGTAGGAGCAGCTCGGTTAGGCAGGAATTTGATCAGGAAAATTAGGAGAAAAAAAGTAGTATAGGCCGTCTGACGTTGAACTGTCCT